CTGACCAAATGTCGTTTGTATCCCATTATGCTTGTTTTGAATCATGTGGTTCATGGAGTCTCAGTCTCTATACAAATCCGCTTTACTATTTCCCAACCAATTTTTCAAAGTAGCATGGGGAGAATCAACTCTGTATTTCCAAGGTGTCTAACATTATCCGTCCACACACAAACTATCTTCTCCTACACCTGATCAAGAATTATGGTTTCAACATACTCTAACAAATCTGGATACTTTTCACACACTTTCTGGAAATGAATAACGGAATCAGCATATAGTTCTTTTGTGAAAGAATTTGTTATACGATTTCATGCATCCGTAATTTTTTCCACAATTACACCCGCCTTCAGCAATTTTCCACCTTATGACGCTATTTGTTTCGTCCCTGTCGTGTGTTTAACACGACTTCTCACGTTCTCTTTTATGTGATACTTAAAAATTAATGCATTAGAAGAAGGAAATATCTTTGCAAACAAATTCATCAATGTTGTATCGCGGTCGGTAAAAATTGCTTTAGGCATCTCACCTTAGACCTTCAAAAGTGACCAACACACCTTTAATGCCAAAGTAAAATTTTCCTCTTTTTCACACTCAAGAAACACAAAACCAATAGAATATGTCTTCTCAATTGAGGTAACACCAACTATCTCAAATAATGGAAGTCTATACTTGTTGGTCTTGTATGATGAATGTAGTATAAGCATAATAGGAAACGTGTTGAACAAATTTATGGAATCAGGATGAGTCCAAAATATATCTCTAACAGTAACTCTATCATCACATGTTCGGTACCGGAACACGTAATTGTATCATCTAACAGTTTTAAGAATTGTTGCATCTCAGGTCTATCCCCCTTAATCGCCTTGTTAGTGAGGTACTGAATGTTATACACTTACTTGATATTTGATATATTGTCGGGTCGCTTCCGTTTCAATGTTGCAAGAATATTTTTCGGTTGAACAAGATTCAAGGTTATGTCATTAATATATTCCTTCTCTTCTGGCTTGAGTCGACAAACGCTAAGATGGGCGACTAATTTTAAACACAAATCATGGTTATGCAAACCACATATCACATTAAATCTCTAATTTTTGTTTGGCAACATATAACCACGAACCTTAAACAGACATTCACATTTTCTACTACCCACGTCGTCTCCTTTAAAATCCCAGATAGGAGTTCAATATTTCCCGCTTCTTTCGCACAGCATTGTCATAAAGGCACTTCTTTTATTTGAGCCATTATCGGATCTTCTGATAACCACACCAAATCCAAATCTAAATGCCTCCATACGAATCCATTCAAGCATTTTATCACCAGACTCAAACTCTTGCTTATTATTAAAGTCGTTTCTAATATTTATTGTCTTCACAACAACCCCTTGAACATTCAGAGAAACAACGTTCGGAGAAACAATTTGTTTTGTGAAAACATCGGGGTGCACCATATCTATTAAAAAAAATAGAATATTAGTTCATCTACTACTGCAGAAGAGCTGAAAAAATGAACACGAAAAACTTTCGGAAATGTATCCCCGGACAAGTTCATATACGTTTCGGATATACATCTCCAGACACAACGTAAGTTTTTCAGAAAAAATTGATGAACAATGTGAGCAATGCAGAGAAAAAAAGAATAATTTTTACCTAAAATTCTATCTTCTTTTACTCTCTGTGATATGTTGAATTAAATGGATGGAGATTTGGAGTGAAAAATTTGATTAAGATTGAAGGGTTTTTAGGATGACAGTTTAGTTGAGAAAGAAGTATGACAACAATGGAGGACTGATCATGCAACTGGAAGTTATATTAAATATTTCCAGAGATACATATCCGAAAATACCTGACATGCAAAGGTGACAGGATATTTCAAAATGTCGCCCATAATTTTGAAGATGCATCTCCGAAATATCTACTGAACTGAACAATTAAAATGTTTTCCATTAAACGCTGGGAAATATATCTCTGGAATATCCACTGAACTAAATACTTGAAATGTTTTCTTTAAAATGTTCCAGAGAGATATCTCAGAAATAAAACTAACCCAATGTATGAGGCGTAACTCAACATGACCTTAATTAAGTATGAAAAATATGTGTCCCGAAATATATCTCCGAAATCAGAAAAACATATTTAAAAATTCATAGAATGCGCTAGAAATATATATATATATATATATATATATATATATATATATATATATATATATATATATATATATATATATATATATATATATATATATATATATATATATATATATATATATATATATATATATATATATATATATATATATATATATATATATATATATATATATATATATATATATATATATATATATATATATATATATATATATATATATATATATATATATATATATAGTGTAATATAAAATTCTCTAAAAAAAAACTTTAGAATTTTGTTGTGAATTAAATGAAGTTAGGGCATGCCTTAGAATAGGATAACCAAACCCACGATCCAGAGCCTAAAAAAACCGAGCGGCAAAGGACCTTAAAATTGGGAGAGTTAAAAAGTTATAATAAATAATATATAATAAATATATTTGTTTCTAACAACGTAACAATTTGTAGCGACGTCCTAGTGGTAATAGATACAATATAAGAATGTTGAGGTTTTGGCTTCAACTCAAGCATAAGCATTAGTTTTTAAATTTTTTATATTAAATTGGCAACTTTTCAATATATTAAAAAATAAATTTTGAATAACATATATAAATATATAAATTATATTTAAAAAGATCCATCATATAATAAATTTATTTATTATTAAATTTATATGATAAAATATAATACATTATTATTTGGGCCTAATTTTAGAACTTTATATTATATTTTTAAAAAAGATATATTATTATATTTTATAATAATAAATTAAAACTCAAGAAATTTCAGTATTATTTTTTATTAAGACAACTTAATTAAATAAATAACAAATTAAATTATTAAAATTAACTTTTTTATTAATTTAATTAGAATTAGTTTAATTTGATGTAGTATTTATAAGATTTTATAGTTTTTTATTAGTTAATTTTATTTGAAGTAGTATTTATAAGATTTTATAATTTTTTTATTAGTTTAACTTCTTTTATGGTTATATACGGATTTTAATAAAATCTTGAGGTTCTTACTATCGTATCTTAAAGTTTTGAGCTCTATCAAAATACTTATAATTATTTTTAGATTTTAATGTTGTTTATAATGTAAATATAAAAATTATTTTTAAATTAAATTTTTTTTTTGTTTGAAGCCAATTTTTTTAAATTCAAATAGAGACTCTAATTTGTTTGAGACGGCCCAGAAAAAAAATGAAAGGGTGTCCTTGTATATGTGTTTTATATATTTAGTATTTGAATAAATTAATAGAGAGATAAAAACTAAAGAAATTTGACAAACACATTAAATTAAGGAAGAAGATTAATGACAAAGTCATTAGTGTGATTGACAAATTAATCATACAACAATATTATTTATTATCAAATTTTTATGATTAAATATAAATTTTTATCATTTTGTGAAAATAAATATTCAACTATAACACTTTCTAACTCAATACATTGATTTCATTTGATTGCATCGATGCCAATATAAAATTTACATCTCTTTTTTCAATATATTTACATATTTTCATATATCTATCTCCATTTTATTTTTTCGAACCTTTGTCTCTTATGCGTTAAATATCACACTCTCAGTACACTATGCTGCAGTCACCCCGGTGACAGCCACGGTGCACTATGCTGCAGCCACTCTGGTGACCGCTACAACCACCGCTCTTCCATTTCAACTTACACAATACCCTTGTTCTCTCACTCTCTAAAATAAAAGAGAAATATAAAACAAACAAAAAAAAATTAAAAGTTAATTGTCCATTATTTTATTAGGACTCCATTTTTATTATTTTACCCGGGACTTCTAAAACCCTGAATAAAGTCTAACTAAAAACTATTTTATTCACAATTTAAACTTGAGTTATTCTTTATAATTTGTCTTTACTTAACAACTTTAATCTTTAACACACCGGTTCCCATGTAAAAGTAATAATAACAATTAATTAAGCACTAGTAGTGGTTACAATACTCAGTCAAAAAATGTAGTAGGTACAAAACGATAGTGCAAGGTAATACCCAAATATGTCATAGAGTTGATTTTTAGCATTTAATTAGTCTAATCTTTTGACAAATATGTCTCTTCTTAAAGATTGTTTCCTCCACTTTATAAAAAAATTATTAAAAAAAGAAAAAAACATTCCTCCACGAAATATGTCATGAAGTTAATTCGAACATTGATAAAAAGTATAGTTTATTTTTAGATGGATATTTGAATAAAATGTGTTTTACTTTTATTCAACACTGAATATGAAAATTACTCACATGTAGTTTTCTAAATTATGCTGTGAATACAAAAATATCTCAAATGTTTGTAAGTAACATGTTGCTAACTTTTTTACTAGTAAAATTTCAGTTTTTAAAAATTACGAGGTCACCTTTTCGAATCCGAGTCTCTGCAGGATGCAGTAGAATGTCCCTACACTTTTTATTTGTGTTGAAAAAACTATTTATAAATATTCAAGAAAAACTTTGGCATCATTTAAAAAATATAAAAAATAAAATATGTGTCGACACTGTAAAATAATTTTATATTGTCAATCCGGCACATTAAATTATAAATTATAAATTTATAATATAATATTATAGATTGATAAATTTTTATTAGACAATAATATAAAATAATTTTATATTTTAAATGCATATCAATTAAACTCTAAAAATTATACTATGTTGCTTTTTATAACATCTATTTAATTTGATTAATTCAAGAGAAGAATCTAAATTCAAATTTTAACTCTCAATTAAATTCAAATCTATTGTTGCTTATAGACATCAATGACTCCCCTTCCTATAAATAGTTGCTTAATTAGCTAGCTTTTCACACAACAAAACTCAATTCTATTAAGCACTCAAACATACACAAAATGAAACTTTTCTATTTTTTCATTGCTTTCTTGGCTTTTGCATCCTCTACTGCTTTTGCCTATGACCCCAGCCCCCTCCAAGACTTCTGTGTTGCAATCAACGATACCAAAACTGGTGGTATATATATTTTTTCTTCATTTTTTTCTTCTTCATCTTTTACAGTAGTTATTATAAATTTATTGAGATTTGTATTTTTAATATTACAGTTTTCGTGAATGGAAAATTTTGCAAAGACCCTAAGCTTGCAAATGCTGAAGATTTCTTCCTTCAAGGATTAGGACCGGGAAACACTTCAAATCCACTCGGTTCAAAAGTAACTGCAGTTACAGTTAACGAAATACTAGGACTTAACACACTTGGTATATCTTTAGCTCGCATCGATTTTGCACCTAAAGGTCTAAACCCTCCTCACACGCACCCTCGAGGAACCGAGATTCTTGTAGTTGTGGAAGGCACACTATACGTAGGTTTCGTAACCTCCAATCAAAACAATAACACTCTCATCTCGAAAGTATTGAACAAAGGCGATGTGTTTGTGTTCCCAATCGGTCTCATTCACTTTCAGTTAAATGTGGGTTACGGCGACGCGGTTGCCATTGCTGGACTTAGCAGCCAAAACCCTGGAGTGATTACGATCGCAAATGCGGTGTTTGGATCTAAACCACCAATTTCCTTGGAGGTTCTCACCAAAGCTTTTCAAGTGGAGGGGAATGTAATCGATTATCTTCAAAAGCAATTCTGGTACGACAATAACTAAATAATATTGTGAGAAGGTATGTGTGTGATTTCCTTAAGTTTGCCTCATGCTGAGTCTTGGTAATATTTACTAATATAGGAAATAATGTGCATGAGGAAGTGTAATATGGTTGTTTTGTTTTGTGTGTACTTTAACTTGTTTGATATATCATAAAGTATAATAAATGAATGTATTGTTCTTACTTTGGTTTCCTATTCTTCCTGTTCACGCCACTCTTAGAAATTTTTGTAGTAATTGTTTTCAAGGATAAACGTACAATACCTTGTGCTTTTAGAGGAAGAATTTATAATCTATATATATATATATATATATATATATATATATATATATATATATATGCAAAATAAATTGGTGCAGCCTATTTTTTTTATTAATATTACTCTCACTTTAATGTGTAACTTATCTGATCATTTTCATTAAAACCACTAATATCATATTTCACATCACTTTTTATTCTTATCGTCCTACTGTTACTTTCTTATATAACTTTCATTTAAATTTAATCTATATCTATAATATATATCAATAATTTATAACATATATATAAAGACAAAACATGGTGTTTTTTTGTACCCTATTTTTCTATCAATATTGCTCTCACTTTAATGTGTAACTTACATGATAACTTCTATTCAAATCACTATCTAATTTCTTACTATTAATTTTCTACATAATTTCCATTTAAATATAATATTAAATAAAAAAATATCATTTAAATTTTTATATATGTGCATTGAAAAAACAGAAAGACAAGCACTCACGGACGTTAGTAATATATAAAAGTAAAAATTTGTTTTAGTGTAGCCTATTTTTTTTTATCATTTGTATCTTTAATTTAATCTATAATTTAGATTATAAATTCAACATAACTCAGTATTATTTACTTTCACATAATTCATTATTATTAACTTTTATATGTCGTGTTTTTTTAATATCAACATTAAATTAAAAAAAATTGTTTATATTTTCAGGCGTGTTAAGTAAAAATATGGAGTGCTCATCTGAGACGTGAGTTTATTTTATATAAAGACAAATTTGACACTACACAGTATATTATTACCTTTTTTTATACAAATCGAGTATCATAAGTGTGTAATTGCATAAATTTAACACTACTGCAAGGTCTCTGGTTAAGCTAGAATAGACCATTATCATCTCAATCAAGTGTTTTCAGATTTTTTGGAGTTCAACAATGAATCTCTATTAACAATGCACATGTGTGTGTGTGTGTGTGTGTGTGTGTGTGTGTATGTGTGTGTGTGTGTGTGTGTGTGTGTGTGTGTGTGTGAGAGAGAGAGAGAGAGAGAGAGAGAGACGGAAAAAAATTCTCAGTAACTTTTTCAATTTGAAAAATGTGTAAGATTCTGTTACGAATTCACTTTCATTTGAGATTTATACAAAGACTCAAATGAAACTCAAATTCAAATGCAAAACTAAATGCAAATGAAACTAATCTTGAATTTTGAATTACATTCAACATCATCTCTTAATTCACATTCAAGTTAAAAATCTACAACACCAATTCCACCATTGAAATTGATGAAGTGTTCAGTTTGTATTTCCTTGGTCAGCACATCTGCAAGTTGCTTCTGAGTGTTGACATGAACAACCTCAAATACTCCATTTTGAACCTCACTGTGCAGAAAATGGTACTTAGTATCAATGTGTTTGTTTCTTCCATGCAACACTGGATTCTTAGCAAGTCTTATGACATATTTGCTGGTTATCATCAACTTGACTAGTTTGCTCACCTTGAACTTCAGTTCGTGCGGAAAATTCATCAGCCAAACGACTTGGCAAGCTGACAAAGCACCAACTATGTATTTAACTTCACAGGTCGACAATTCAACCATTTGTAGCTTCTTGGAACACCAAGAAATAGGGGCTTCCAAATACATAAACATGTATCATGTAGTGTTTCTTCTGTCTACTATGTCACCACACCAGTCAGAGTCTAAGTAGCTTATGAGCTCAGCAGCATCTGACACTCTAGAAACATCTGACACTCTAGATGGAAACATAATTTCATACCCTCAGAGTTCCTTTTACATACCTCAGAATCTTGACTCCAGCTTGGTAATTTGACCACTTTGATTTACTCATAAACCTACTCATCATTTCAACTACATAACATATGTCAAGCCTGATGTTACACATACATCTCAGACAACCAACCAACTATTTAAAATTTGTATTATCTACATCCTCACCATCAGAATTAGAGTCCAACTTATGATTTGTCTCAACAGGACTGACTGTTGACTTACAATTCATTAGTTCAAATCTCTTTAGTGGCATAAGTTCATACTTTAGTTGGTGCACAGTAATTCTCTTCTCAAAATGAAATATCCCCATCCCTATAAAATGCACCATATTTCCAAGGTCAGACATATCAAATGCATTCATCAGCACCTTTTTGAACTTGTTTATCTCAGAAGTGCATCTTCTTGTCAGAAGTATGTCATCTACTTAAAGACACACTAGAATCACATTCCCTTAAGAGTTATGTTGCACATATACACCATGTTTCATTTCACATTTATTAAATCCCATATGCTTAAAAAAATGAGTCAATCTTTAGATTACATGCCCTTGGAGCTTGTTTCAGCCCATACAAGGTTTTATGCAGCTTGTACATCATCTCTTCTTTGTCCTATTTCACAAACCCAATAGGTTGTAACACATAAAATTCTTCTTGCAATGGAACATTTAGTAAAGCTTACTTTACATTTAAATGTTTTATAGGTCAATTCCTATTTGCACCTATAGCAATGACCAACCTTATGGTTTCATGTCTAGCTACGGGTGCAAACACTTTAAATTAACTTAAACCAGACTTTTGTAGGAATCCTCTAGCTACTAAGCTTGATTTATGCTTGGTAACGGAACCATCTAACTTCAGCTTTATCTTGAAAACTCATCTCATGCTGATGGCTTTCTTTTTCTGAGGTAAAATAGTAAACTCTCAAGTCTTATTTATTTTAATGGCTTCAAGCTCTTCATTCACGACGTTCACCCACACCTTTTTCTTGAGAGTCTCGTTGATGTTAACAGGTTTAGATTCCATCATCATGGCACTCTGTATGACTTCCCCTTCAGAGTCAATCTCGGCATCTTGCAGCAGCTCAAAGTCTGCAAGTCTCCTTGGTATCTATCTAACCCTATGTGGTCTCTAAAAACCTTCAGAAGCAGGACCATCTTTAGAAGATCCATATTCAGAGGTTGAACCATCTTCAAAATCTCTACCTTCAAAAGTTCCACCTTCAGAGGTTGGACCACCTTCAAAAGCTCTACCTCTAAAAGTTCCACCTTCAGAGGTAGGACCACCTTCAGAGTCAGATCCACCATCAAAGCCAAACTCACCTTCAGAGCATGAATCACATTCAGAGTCAGAGTCATCTTCAAATTCAGACTCTCCTTCAGAGGAAGAATCTCCTTCAAAGGCAGAATCTTCTTTAGAGGCCGAATCAAACTATAGTATTAACTTACGCCAAGAAAGGAAATGATCCATGGGCTAAATTGATTATCTAATCGATTAGAAAAAAGCTCGAATCGATTAGATAGCTCAAATATAATCGATTGTAAACCCCATTTGGTAATGTTTGGGTATATAGTTGTTGCAAGTCATTAATGTGTTATCCTTTTTGTTTATACAATCAATTATCATCCTTCTAATTGATTTTACAAGTGCTCTAATTGATTGATAGATCAAAAAAATTTCCAATCAATTGCCATATCTTTCCAATAGAATAAATGGTTAAGAAAATGTTTGGATATCTTTTTGATCACTTGGTCTTGATTTAGAAAATAACTTTCAAGGTAGACAAATATTTTAAGGTGTGTGTGTGAGTTGTCTTAGTACTCTTAACCTATTATCTTATTTTTATATTACTCAATTCACCATGACTGATAGACAGACATGACATGGTGAGCTTTCACATTTTCATCAAAGAAGCTCCAAGAATTCTGCTTAATAGTGTTTGTTTTGTATAAGCACTTAATTTTGAGTTCTCTTGTTAATGACTTTGGATACTTTTAGAGTTGGAAGCTATTTGTCATGCGTTGTTGTCATAAAAAATTTAAAGATAATTCTTTATTACCTGCAAGCACATAGATCCAAAATAGATATGGTGCACACACCCGAATATGTTTCCCAAAGCTATTGTGGGTGTGGATGCTAAATTAGTCAAAGTGAAGCATGATATTAAACTGGATGAAGTGAATGATAATACTAAATCAGGCAAAGAGAATGATGATGTTAAACTGAGTGCTTGATCGTTTGTTGTCGAGGTAGATGTTTGTGCACAATTTACAAATAAAGAAGTGTTTAATGTTAACATATGTTGCAATAGGTCCGTAGGGAGGCCGGAAATTGGATTTTGGCTTCGTAATCGAAAGTTCCAATTATGGTTCGAATAGAAGACAAGAATTTGTAACAATTATATGCAAAAGAAATGGCACGTACCAACCAATGATTAGGAACTTGAAACGATATGACATGGGATCTAGCAAATGTGAGTGCCTGTTTAAATTGCGCGGATACCGTATGGCAGATGAGACATGGAAATTTAATGTGATTTCCGGTATACATAATCATGTCTCACATAACAAGCTAGTCGGTAATTCCATTGCATGCCTCCTTGCTCCGTAAGAGAGGGGACTTGTTTCAGACATAACATTAAACATGGTGGGACCGAAAAACATACTCGCATATTTGAAATCAAAAAGACCTCTAAATGTTTCAAATATCAAGCAAATATACAATGTTCGTGCTCGAGACAACAAGGTGGTAAGAGGAACAAGATCTGAGATGCAACAATTGTTAAAGCTTTTGAAAGACGGAGATTATGAAAACACAATTATGTTCGCATTTTAGGAGTGTGTTTGTGTGATATATTCAGATTTTCTAAAATATGTTGAGGGCATGATTCTGGATCAAGTTAAAGAAAAGATTATTTGTGTATAAACCAATCAAGTTCGACACTTTAACAATACAACAACTAATAGAGTTGAATCTGCACATGCTAGACTTGAGAATTGCTTGGGAAATAGTAAATGTGATTTTTTTCAAGATTGGGACGCAGTTAACCAATGCTCTAAAACCAACATAATGAGATACAAACATCTTTAAATTAGAGCATTATTGTGTTAGGACACCGATTCAATGACAATATCATTTATTCATAGTTGGTTGGTTACGTATCTCGGACGGAATTGAATTTTATTTTTTACGAAGCCAAGTGAGCAGATAAAAAAAGTTTATATAACTTAAAGTGTGGATGTACCCTTAGGAAGACTTACGGTCTTCAATGTGCTTGTTTAATATCAAAGAAGATGAAATTTGAAAAAACAATATGTATGGATGAAACTTGTTTAATCTTCGGACACTATGGATATTTAAGTCTTTTAACTGTGGTGTGGAAGCACCAATAAAGGTGGAAATATTAATGCCCAAACTATAAACGTATATATTTGTATCAATATTATGATCAAATTTATTGGCTATTTAATTTCCTCTTGACGTTGTTTTAATGATAATGTGTATAGTTAGTTTATAAGAAATTTGTGTTACCTGAGATAGTGTTCTTATTGATAATAAGTACCGACACAAGAAATCAATAGCTTATAATTTTTCAAGATTGTATTTTTACTTATATTGTTAATATGTAAGGGGGTGATCTTTCCCACCTTTATGGGTGCTCCCACATCATCGTGAAAAGTTCTTGATGCCCTTAACATCCGGAGATGCATCTTCGGACGCACCTATTTTCACCATTTCTCATATCAAATTGAAGAAAAGCTCATTTTTACGTTAAAATTTAGTCCAAAGATGCATCTTCGTATGCATTAAAAGCGTGTCCGAAGATGCATCTTTGTAAACAACATTTCTTTAAAAACGAGTTAGTGGTTCAGAGATGCATCTCTTGATGCCTTCTTTTCATAACTCGCGCCAGAACCCTTCCCTCTTCCTCCTTCTTCATTTTTCTAAAAAATTTTAAAAAAAGAATATTTAACATTTCCCTCTCCCAATCATTGAAGCATCTCTTCTTTGCATTGAAGCATCAGTGGAGCTCTTTCTCTTCCTTTCCATCATATCATAACATCGAAACATCTCCTTCTCATCAATCAATTCCATTTTAGTAATTTTTTAAATTTTATTTTATTTTTGTGTTTTGATTTGTAGTTAGCTTTTTAGGATACATTAGTTGGTTTAGGTATTTTAGGTAGTAATGTAAACGAACTTGGTAGGTTAGAACAAGATGCAATGGGTTTTTTGGAACTGTTATGGCAGAAAATGGGTTGCTTCCATGGGAGCGAAATCGCAGCTTTGTTTGGAGATGCATCTCCATATTTTCTCTGTATTTTTCGGAAATGCATCTCCATATTAGACCCGGCTAAAAAATTAGAACATTTTGTGAATTTCTCTGGGCAAAGTGTTGATATTTATCTCTGTTTTATAATGTATGTGTAATGGCTGAAGACAACACTTGTCAAATTAAGCTTAGGTGTGTTTCCCAAAATAGGTCAGTACGATGTGAAAGGGATGCAACGAAGACCACGAGGCCATGGGTTACTGACTAGGGGACCGCCTATTTGGCGTACCTCTACTTGAAGCTGGACGAGAGTTGTCTTTGAAAGACAAAGCAAGTGACAGGGTATTGCACGCTGCTTATGGTATTTCCTTGTTACTAATATTTTACTCATTTGTTATACTTGTTATTGATATTGTATCCACAACATTTTCAGGAATGGATCACCTCTTACTTCCCTCGCATCACTAGGTGGGAAGCTGCACCTAATTACACAGAGGACTAACCTCGTGCACTCGCTTTTCTTTTGTATAGGGAGAATGGTGCGGTCGAGTCATTCAGAGTCTCTCTTGATCATATGGTAACATATGTCGTTTCAGAGTCTCTCTTGATCATATGGTAACATATGTCATTTTATTCTGCCCATACGAGGGTCACTGTCAGACACGTCAGTTTGACGTCATTTCCTTATACTCCGGTTGAATGGGATGTGGGTCATCTCTTATGTATCCCTATTTGCCTAAGCGAGTGATGTACCAGTTTTCCTACTTGCAGATTATTCTGAGACCTCCCCGTGAGTTGATCCTCCCACCATCTCCCGCAGAGACCTATAGGCAATACTGGATGATTTTGAGAGTCACCTGATACCAGAAAAGTATCGTCGGGAGCCAAGTCATGTAGAATGGACTTGTGCTTAGAGTTACATGACATGGTTCATTAGAGGGTCACACCTGATCATAACACCCGACACTCCTGGAGAACTACCTAGGTCAGCTAATGAGGAGGTACTTGAGTTTTGGGATAAGCAGATAGAGAATAATGGCAGTATATCAGGATGTTGCGGAGATGGGTTGAGATGTCATAGAGTCAAGACTCTTTGTAAATGGTAGTCCCCAGTTATTCCTAGTGGAGCACATGATTTTCGAGTTACGAAATGTTGTATAATACAGACAGCAGAGGATGCAGACAGTTAGACATACCCAATAATATTTTTGATGTGTTCTTGAACAAAAATGTAGTGGATTTTAAGACAATTTACAAAAATGTAGTGGATTTTAAGACAATTTTAAATTTTCAAAAATGTGCTATACATATCTAAGATTCCTCGTATATAATTGCACAACAATTCAATGGCTTACTATTTTCAAAATGGTGTTCTTAATGTTCCTCAATATGGTGTTCTTTCTGTTACTCAATAAAGTGTTCCTCTTAATAAGTAATTACACAAGAATTTAATGACATAGTTTTAATGGATGAATGCCCCTTTCTCCCTATTATTTTTATCTTAAATTTTATTACTAGTAAAAAAAATATTTGAAAAAAAACTAAATCATCAAAAATTAATAGTAATTTAATTAAGGTTTTTTTATTTTATCTTGAGGTTTTTATTTAATTAATGTTTTTTGAATCAATATATATTTATTAAAATAAAAATAAAATATAAATTAATAATAATAAATTACATATAACTTATTTGTGGAGGTGTGCAATGACACATCATCAAATGAACATTAAAGTTTTATTTAAAATTGGAAAGAAAACTAAAATCCTTACAAAAATTTAAAAATTTAAAAAAAAAACAGATTTTAAAAATAGGGACTAAAACTCAAAAAAAAATTAAAAATAGAGACCGAAATTAAAATTATACCTAGTAATTTATTTCAAATTAATTATTTAAATTTTTGGTTCACTCATTCAGCAGCATAATATTTTCCCTTTAGATTAGAAGAAAAAAATAATAATCCATCGAATGATGATCAACATACTGGATTGTAAACAAGTTTCCAATTATAGTAAACATCCTCCAATAACATAAATAAGTCACAATTTCTTCTTTTACCTATTAGTAATACAAGGCAACCCAACAATGGTAACCAAATAAGCAATCCAAATTTCTGAGTAACTAAATTACAATGTATATTTCCTTATAAATTTTGGCAAACCTCGAACATTTCTACTGGATAGCACTGTAACTTCCTCTTGACTTTCTTATCTACATTTCCGTCTACTACGGTTTTCCTATGCCTATTTATCATAAGGACATTCAATATCATTTTCAGTGACCTTAAAATGAAGTGGCCGTTGACCAGAGCAATGCAAATTCCACATTTTAAAATATGCTCTGTCGAGATTCCTCACCTGTAAAATTACCAGCATAAAACTTAAGGATAATTAACCGGGACACAAAAATTAGATTTTAGTATAAAGTAGCATTTTGAACTCACCCATCGGTTTGTGTCGAAGAGAGGACAGGTCATGCGTACAGCTTTGAGCTTGTCAGTTAGAGCTCGAAGCTTAGGGCGATTCAGAGCCAGTGATACAGCTCTATCTTCATACTCTTTCATACTACATAGTTTCACAGAAGTTTGAAATTAAGCATGCAAGAAATTAAGAAAAGTAAATTCTCAAAATCGGATAGCATTGGCATTGTTGACAAATATTAAATTGGAAAACAGCTCACCTGTTGACAATCATCTCGTCTCCCAGCCCAGTGGAGAGACAGAGTGAGCCAGCAACCCTAGTAGCCATTTTCTCGAGAGGCAGAGTAACCATAGGAAGACCTGCCCATAGTATATCTGTTCCTGTTGTATGTGCATTGCATAAAGGCCTAAAAGAAAGCATATTCAGCATATGTAAGTGACACAGCAACAGAAGGCTGAAGAAGCAAAACATGTAGATGAGATAAATTACGTGTCAAGAAATAGGTCTGCTAAAGAACTCCGTCTAATGTGCTCGCTCTTCATCGCAACATCTGTGAAGATAATTTGATCCGGCTGCACCCCTTGTGCAGCAGCATCTGAAAGAAGTGCAATAATTATAGTTAGTTCACAAGAATATTACGCAGCAAATACAAATAGAAGAAGACGTCCGATGGTTTTGACAGGAGAATTGATTATAAAAAGCACATTGCAAGCACACACACATATTTATGTGTGGTGTGTAAATATTATGAAAACAAAGTCACATACATGCCCTCAGTCTCATTTCGCCTGCTGCGGGAAATTTCAGGAGCCAAAGCGCGCTGTTGGGCACACGTTTAAGTATATTGCACCTAAAGCAACTCATAGGCACACACGTAAAGGATAAGATGCCAGGTATAGAAAAAAACAAAATACACAGATGGAATATAAAGCGGTCTTTAAAGCCTATCTACCGAAGAAAAAGAGCTTCATAACATTACCATGTATTAAATATCTCAGGATCCATCTTATAAAGTTGATTGAAGCATGCAAATAAAAACTTGTCCTCAGGTAGACCATAATCTGATCTTTTGGGCTGACAGTTTGGATCTAACACGTCCTGATTTTTCTGAATAAACAAATTACCCAGGACAAAGACATTGAGTGCCAAATGCCAGTGTATAGTAAAAATACATACCTTACAAAATGTGTATCCAAGTTTTTAGAATACAAATTCATAAAAACAAACCTGTTTATAATCATTTACAAAGTAGCAATGAGGAAGATGGACAATCTGTTCAGAGTATATATGTGCATACTGAAGAGGTGAAACAAACTGCAAGAGAAGCAGCAATAATTCAGAAAGCATGTAAACAAGTTAATGTGATGGCCAGGCAACACCCAATATTGCTCACCTCATCAGTGACCAAGTAATCTATGTAAGTAGCTCCAGTTGTGCCAGGAAATCCCATATATGAAACTTGAATTGGCGCAGGTTTCATGGCAAATATCTCATTTCTGGCACCCTAAGAAGAAGGGAAATGGACAATTGCAGCATGCAATCAGAAATAACATAAAAAAAGAAAGAAAATACAACAATACAATCCAAAGCCTTTACCCAATAAAACAATACAATCCGAAGCCTTTACCCAATAAGTAGGATCAGCCATATAAAATTCACCAAGTCAAGATCTTGGTTTGGTTTCATAAGTAAAAAATCAAAGCTTTTACCCACCAAGTAGGATAAATTATATTTATCAAGTGTGTCATGAAATCCTTTTATCATGAACCAATAGTATGGACCAAAACTTTATTAATTCAGACATAAAAAATTTAGAATTATGGATTTATATGTAAACAAAATTTAGGTAGATATATAATTATATTTCATCTTTAAAATTACGTCATGATTATATGTGAGGATCAACTCTATTTTAGAGTAAAACCAACAAAGTAAAATGATCCAACAAGCAATGGGTTTGTTTTCCAGCTGGATATGACAATCAACGAAATTTCTTTCATAATGCCAACTTTGTAATACTAGCATGGTGACGTGCCATTGGGCCGTAAGAAAAAGTTTACTGACATGTATTCAATGAGCACTAAATAGTCTGAGTTATAGTTTTTTAATGGCTGCCCTCCCTTTCATCTATAACCTCCTTAATTCCTTGCTGGCACTGCTCCTACGAATCTCCAGAGTAGATACTGCCCTACTTTTTTTCTAGGATATTAATTGTCTTGTTTTGTGTGACAACTCATATCATGGTAATCTCATCTTAGCAGTAACACAATTATTATTTTCTTACTAACTTTTTACATATCACCATTTAAATCCACATAATATTGTACTGTAAATCTTTTACAACAACAACAACCAAGTCTTATCCCACTAAGTGGGGCCAGCTACATGCAATAACTTTTATCATAATGTTCTATCTAGGACCATATTTCTATCCATATCGTTAATCTCAAAATCTTTCTTAATAACTTCTCTTATAGTTTTTCTAGGTCTTCCCTCTACCTCTAGTTGTTTTACTTCTCTCCATCCGATATACTCTCCTTACCACAGAATCTACAGGTCTTCTCTCTACATGTCAAAACAACCTAAGTCTATTTCCCACCATATTATTAAAACTATTGTAAATCTTATAGTTGTAATAAAAGAACTCTTCAAACTAGAATAATACTTTGTTGTCACATATTACATCTGAAGCATTCCTCCATTTTAACCACCCTCTGGTGAAAAGTAATGAACTCAAAATCCAAAGCTCAGTAATCTATAAATATCTACAGATGCAACTTTAAGTTAACAGACAAGTAAAACAAAATTGACTTGTCTGTTACATGCAATAACTTTTATCATAATGTTCTATCTAGGACCATATTTCTATCCATATCGTTAATCTCAAAATCTTTCTTAATAACTTCTCTTATAGTTTTTCTAGGTCTTCCCTCTACCTCTAGTTGTTTTACTTCTCTCCATCCGATATACTCTCCTTACCACAGAATCTACAGGTCTTCTCTCTACATGTCAAAACAACCTAAGTCTATTTCCCACCATATTATTAAAACTATTGTAAATCTTATAGTTGTAATAAAAGAACTCTTCAAACTAGAATAATACTTTGTTGTCACATATTACATCTGAAGCATTCCTCCATTTTAACCACCCTCTGGTGAAAAGTAATGAACCAAAATCCAAAGCTCAGTAATCTATAAATATCTACAGATGCAACTTTAAGTTAACAGACAAGTAAAACAAAATTGACTTGTCTGTTACATGCAATAACTTTTATCATAATGTTCTATCTAGGACCATATTTCTATCCATATCGTTAATCTCAAAATCTTTCTTAATAACTTCTCTTATAGTTTTTCTAGGTCTTCCCTCTACCTCTAGTTGTTTTACTTCTCTCCATCCGGTATACTCTCCTTACCACAGAATCTACAGGTCTTCTCTCTACATGTCAAAACAACCTAAGTCTATTTCCCACCATATTATTAAAACTATTGTAAATCTTATAGTTGTAATAAAAGAACTCTTCAAACTAGAATAATACTTTGTTGTCACATATTACATCTGAAGCATTCCTCCATTTTAACCACCCTCTGGTGAAAAGTAATGAACTCAAAATCCAAAGCTCAGTAATCTATAAATATCTACAGATGCAACTTTAAGTTAACAGACAAGTAAAACAAAATTGACTTGTCTGTTACATGCAATAACTTTTATCATAATGTTCTATCTAGGACCATATTTCTATCCATATCGTTAATCTCAAAATCTTTCTTAATAACTTCTCTTATAGTTTTTCTAGGTCTTCCCTCTACCTCTAGTTGTTTTACTTCTCTCCATCCGATATACTCTCCTTACCACAGAATCTACAGGTCTTCTCTCTACATGTCAAAACAACCTAAGTCTATTTCCCACCATATTATTAAAACTATTGTAAATCTTATAGTTGTAATAAAAGAACTCTTCAAACTAGAATAATACTTTGTTGTCACATATTACATCTGAAGCATTCCTCCATTTTAACCACCCTCTGGTGAAAAGTAATGAACCAAAATCCAAAGCTCAGTAATCTATAAATATCTACAGATGCAACTTTAAGTTAACAGACAAGTAAAACAAAATTGACTTGTCTGTTACATGCAATAACTTTTATCATAATGTTCTATCTAGGACCATATTTCTATCCATATCGTTAATCTCAAAATCTTTCTTAATAACTTCTCTTATAGTTTTTCTAGGTCTTCCCTCTACCTCTAGTTGTTTTACTTCTCTCCATCCGGTATACTCTCCTTACCACAGAATCTACAGGTCTTCTCTCTACATGTCAAAACAACCTAAGTCTATTTCCCACCATATTATTAAAACTATTGTAAATCTTATAGTTGTAATAAAAGAACTCTTCAAACTAGAATAATACTTTGTTGTCACATATTACATCTGAAGCATTCCTCCATTTTAACCACCCTCTGGTGAAAAGTAATGAACTCAAAATCCAAAGCTCAGTAATCTATAAATATCTACAGATGCAACTTTAAGTTAACAGACAAGTAAAACAAAATTGACTTGGATATAACAACAGCCCTATTTATGAATTTTGATTAGTTAGGCGATCATACAAGAACACTCAAAGATGAGGGAGGTACCTTTGTATAACCATTGAGGTTGATAAGAATCTGAATCTTATCCTCGTTGATCAGTTTAGCTATCATATCTGATGTCATGGCAGATACATCCACAAAATGCTCTGCTTCAGATTGAATACGTTGTCTCCATTCAGTACCGTCATTTGGACTCAAAGCATAGCAGAATACCTAGATATATAAATTGTCAATACATAAAGAACAGAAGGAAGAATATTTGTAAGAGAAAAAGGTTGAATAAAACCAAATTCAATACCTCTACATTCTTACTGTTGTGCATACCGAAAACAGATCCCATTAGATGTGACAAGGGGTGATTACCAAAGTCGCTACTCACATACCTGCAATCAGAAAATTTCACATGCAATTAAAATTTTATTACATATTTAGAACACAGGGAAAGAGGAGAAAATCATTTAGAGCTTTTATAAATTAATAATCACATACCCAATCCTTAGTCTTTCATAGCCTCCCTCCTGCTTGATAGGAATAGGAGTGGGATGGCTAAATGGTGGAAGAGAGAAACGAGATGCAATTACAGAGCAGTGTGCAGCATATTTGCGGCTGTGAAGAGACAAAGGACATTAAAATAAGCATAGTTAGAAAACCATAGAGCAGTCCATTTATTATTGAGTAGATTTTCTGCAAACACATTCATTGTACCTAATTTCCAGAGCAAGCATTGGGTCAAGTGGATATGCTATTGCATGGAATGGCTGGACACTAGGAAGAACTGACATCTGAAAAATAGAAAAACAAAATAACTTATGAATATCCAAACAGACGTGCATGTTCATATCATAGGTTGAGTTACTGAAAAAACAAAATTGTATACAAATTGCTCCTGACATTAATTTGCCTTCTGATAATCCCTTCTACTTCCTTGAACATTTGGTCACGGTCCTCCCAACAGCAGACACACTGCAATATTGCAAAAGACTACACTGAGATACACAGAGAAACTGCATATTTACATTTCATGCAACATCAACATAGGTATGCATACTGGGGTGATAACAAAGGAACCACCAAGACTAAACAATAACCAAATACCAAAGAGAAACAGTCACAGACACGCATCATAACATTGAACATATGAAATAATGATTTCAATCGTTGTGCTGAATACTCCCTTCATTTTAATATGATTGTCGTTCTCACTTTTCAATGTACTAATAATTGTTATTTTTCCTATTGTGTCATAATTATTACTCTGGATACTTTTTCAACACATTAATAATACTAATTTAGTAAAAGTGCAATATTTTATGACAATATCATTGCATTCCTTAATCTATGTGCAAAAACCTTAAACGACGGTCATTTTGAAACGGAGGGAGTAGTATATCCAAAATCAAGATGACAAGAGAATATCATATAGTCCAAGCAAATCGAACAAACGCAAGCTATACTTATTCATTCCAAGCACGCAACCTACCAATACAACAACCACTTCATATTAGAAAAGAGTAGAACAAAGAAGATGAACTAGAGATTAAGGCAAAAATAAGGAATTTCTACTTTCTAATAAGGTACTTCAATCACAGACAATAATAAAAAATAATACAAGCAGCACACATTGAAAAACACTATGATTTGGAACATATTATAAAAACTCAATAAACTTTTTGAAAAATCAACCAGCTTAAGAAACGAACAATGACTTTTTAAACAACTATTGACTCAATACTAAACATAACAAATGGTAAAAAAACCTGAAGTGTGTGTAGAAGATTGCAAGTTGCTTCCGGAAAGTCTTTGCGGAGAACCAATGCCTGTCTATAGCTCTTTACAGCTTCCTCTACATGTCCACTGAAATAAAGGGTAGAATTACATTGAGCATACAGTTTTGAGTTTCGACAGAGTAACTAGACGTCATATAGTTGATGGGGAAGCCACCAACAGATGTTGCCAAGGGAAATAGAGGAATAAAAGAGGTTTCAGACAAAAGAAAAAACCTAAAACTTCTGATGCAGCCACAAGAAAAATAATCCCCAAAAGATGTCAGATGGCCCAGGTTCAATTTCAAATTTTCAATATTAAGTTAAAATACATTTTATTTGAATTAAAGCTCACACTGCTAGTTATTTAATAGTTTGCTTAAGTTCCGAAGTTGGAGGTATTAAGCAAAATAACAAACCTATCTTTATAGGCAGAAGCCAAATTAGCATGAGCTTCAGCCATGGTAGGCCTGACAGTAATTGCACGTATATAATCCTGGATAGCATCAGTAACTCTTCCAATCTCCTTATAAGTATTGCCTCTGTTTACAAGACCATCAGCTGCCAAAGGATCAATGCGGAGGACCTCATTGTAGCAAGATATGGCATCTGCATAATTCCCCTACGATATTGCCCAAGAAATAAACAAGATAAGCAGCAATATAATTTTATCAACTTTTTCTCTAAGCTTCCAACCCTTGCAGTTATCTTATGTTTTATCATGGATATACACACCAAAAAAGTACTAGGTTTTCATACCTGCTGCTTATAGATTATAGCAAGGTTGTTATAAGGTGCAGATAATCCAGTGGTTACGCTTAGTGTAGCTTTATAATATGAAGCAGCAGCAGCCACCATGTTCCTGCATCACCAATTTCAACCAAGAAAATTCAATTTATCTCGCATAACCCACAAACTACTACCATTAGCATGAAGATAGAAGGATCACATACCATTCCATGTATATATTTCCAAGATTGGTTAACGCTTGTGGATGGTTGGGCTGTAATGAAAGGCATTGCTTCATAGTAACAAAAAAACAAGTTGAGTAAGAATCTTATGGCTCGAAAGCCTAATGAACTAATGACTAAATACATGTAAAGCAGAAAAAAAGACATACATTGTAGCACTGGACAGCTTCCTCCACTCTGCCAACATCTTTCAAAGCATTACCCTGAGAAAACAAAGATAATATTATCCAATTGCATCAAATCTAAAATAGCACATTTAGAATCTGGATTTTGTTTCCATCTGTTGCTTTTAGTTTTATTTTCAAAAAAATAATTTAGTTTTATTTTCAAAAAAATAATTTAGTTTTATTTCCTGTCTTTAAAGTTTTGTATGGAAAATGGTGAAAACAGTAAATAAAAAAATTGAATAGAAAACCTTAAAAGACAAAAGCAAAGTAGCAATTTTGCAATTAAAACTGAAAACAAAAAATTCTCCAAAACGAAACCCTTAAGAGTCTTAAACGGAAGAGTGGTAAGGAAAAAACCAACCAAATTATTGTAAGCTTCCAAAAATCTGGGGTCACATGCAATAGCTTGTTTGTAGTGTAGAATTGCCATGTCCAGTTGACCTTGCTCATAATGTATACTGGCCAAATTACCTGTAACATCATTTGTAACCCGGTAAAGCCAGTGTTATTAGCATAGAATACACTGGGTTTACTAAAGAGTAAATTGCAAGGCCAGCATAATTTGAATAAATAGAAGGATACTTGGAACAGCCATAGATATCAGAATATAGACAAGCAATTTTAACTGATATTCACTGTTTCACTATTTATGCAGCAAAGCATAGTCACGTGGAAATACTCTCCACTAAGAAGCAGCCATAAATATATTACATTTTGCAAAGGAAACCATGAAAGGAGCCAATATAAATATGAAACTTATTAGTTGACTTCTAATAGCGGCATGTTTATCAAAAATGAAGATTGTTTCCTAGCAAGCTTTTCTAAAATATAAATAAGAAAAAGTGAATGTTATTAATATAATAAAATATGCAAGCCTATTATGATACAATACATCAATAACTGTTCTTGAGTCACGTGGCATGTTATCATTAGTGATTTTAGATATAGCTACCCACCAATTACAGAACTCTACTCTGTTAGGGTCAGAGTAGAATTCCTGTGTTAGAGCTTTGTCCTGGGAGTAGTTTGAGAAATCATCTACTACTTTTATTGTTTATTATCAATAAAAATAAAACATCATAATTTCTTTAATATTTCATCTATTCCTTCTCCTTTTTCTTGTGTTGGTTTATCGTTTTGGTTTGCAGACTCATTGATTTCTACGGAAGCCCATTTCTTAATATCCAATATCTTAGCACTGATCTTATACAAAGAGGAAAAAATTAGCTTCAAACAGATAAAGTAAGGCAACAAAACTCACCATAAGCCATGCCATAATTTGGCCGGGTTTGAAGAGCATGTTGATAACATGCAATAGCTTCTTGAGGCATCCCTAAAGCCTAATGAAGAAAAAGATAAAAAAACTTTCAGGGATCATCAATGTCAATCAAAGTTCTAATTGAAACCAATCAATCATATTCTTAACACCGTACCTTGTATACATTCCCAAGGTTCAAGTATGCATCAGGGAAGGAAGGTTTGAGTTTAACAGCTTCCTGAAATATTTAAATAAAAATGTTAAATGAGAATATACAATGATAGATTTTGTATAAAATGCATAAGAGACTAAAATGCACACCACTTAACCTATCATACACCAAAACTGTGATTAGTCACTTCTAAAGGTGAACATTAATAAACTTGTAAATAATAAGAAACCAAAATGTCAGAAATAAAAATAAATACATCAAAGTTTGTCAGACAGTCTGGATTTATAAGACGCTCCTAACAAAAGTTCATTCAAGCACATCAATAGAAAGCGAGACACACCTTGTAATATTGCAGGGCTCTGTTGAAATCACCAGACTCCATGAACAGACCAGCAAGATTTGACCATGCAATAGCAAAGGTAGGTTGAATACGCAAAGCCTCGAGGTAACAACTGTATGCCTGCACAAAATGTTAGATTCTGACTATTTGCAGTGTTGCAGATGGAAGTTACAACAAGACCAACCATCATCTGAGTCCAAGCTTTGAAGACAACAACTTCATATCTGTATCGAACTGTGAATTTGGACACAGTTCCACCCACCAATTATTTAAATCAGTAACTAAAATGTAAAAAAAAAAAATGTAGGGAATATAAGACTAAGTACTGAAGGAACCCTCCAGGCTTCCAGGCCAGGACACAGCCATTTTTATCAGGTATAAATGGGAGGCGAGTACCAATGGAAGGCATATTGGTGGTGTTTATTCTGGCAGTTCCAGCAGAGAATTGTCTCAAACTGGAAGCCAAATAAAGGGTGTTTTGGCTCTAATATCAATTCGGAACACCAAGATCAGGGTAAATAGCATTGTAGAAGAAAACATCTTAGAAAAGCCTAATCACCTACATAAAAAAAAATTAAAAAATAAAAAATAAAATAAAATTAAAAACTAAACAATAGGTAGAACACCACTCAAACTGGGAATCCAGTAGAGCATCATCTCGAACTTCAAAGCACAGAAACTGAACTCACTGTAGCAGCAGGTTGGGGTATAACAAAATCCAAATTCAGAAATTTTGCACTGTGGCAGACAGGTCATTAAGAAAAGACAACTCCTTATCCATAAAATGTGATAGTTCATAAGAGAATTATAGGCTGTAAACAACATCAAGATTCTAAAAGGTACAAATTATAACATAAAAGTGCATATCAAGTGTTAGGACTTACTTCTTGGACCAGCCCTTGAGCTTTCATTAAATTACCCAAGTTGCTATGAGCATCAACCTGCAGTACATAGATAATGACAACAAAAACAATGATATGTGACCAAAGCCCGTAAAAGCAGAGAGTAAAATGGATAGAGAAGGAAGGTAAAAAATTACATCCTATGGCTTGGGGAAAATTACTTATTAGCTTGAGCAGCAGTTACTCATCAAACAAGTAGCAAAATTACCATTAGAGGGTTTATAGCAAGTGCTTGACGGCAGCATTGAGCTGCTTCAGTAAGTCTTCCTTTACGCATGTATGCACTAGCTAGGTTTGACCATGCATCGGCAAAATTGGGACGAAGCTGCAGCAGCAGAGCCAAGAGGGGGGAAATTGCATCAAATAAGGGGAGAAATACTAACAATTGAAAATGATAATAATTATAATATATATGCATCATTTTCTATAAATAATTGGCATCAAACAAACTAGAAGGTGAGGCTTATATGGTTGTCTCTAAAAGTAGAATAATGCCTCCAAACACGCCTAACATTAGTGACCTATTATTACTACCGGCTGCAACAATTAAGAACATATTATGATAGCCAATAAAATTAAGTAACAAAATCCAGTCTGTGTTAGTACGGAATCCATACAAGATATGTTGTCATTGATCTTATTTATGGTTCTTGGGCACAAATAATAGGAACTGAGATAGTGTATTCTAGAGTAATAATACAAAAAGAAGAAAACTAAACCAAAGCAACACGTAAATCCATGAAACAATTACATGACAAACTACATTTACAAGTTCAGACTTGCATACAGACCTCAATGGCAACCAAGTAATAGCGAATTGCAAGATCAATGTTGCCTTTTTCCTGCAAAAAAGAAAAAAGGTCTATTAACTACAGAAAAACAGTGAGCATCCATCACAGTCATGGCATATAAGCATTGGTGACTTGCCTTCCATGCATTTGCCATATTACCATAACACTCAGCAAAGTGTGGCTCGATCCTAAGCGCTTCTTCATTTTTTGCCACACACATATCAAAATCATGTAACTGCACAAGACAGGTAGTTCAACGCAATCCAAATGCGGCACATGAATATCAAATGTAGTCAAACAAATAACAGAAAAAATAGATACAAAAATATATATAATAAACCTGGTAATAAATTGCACCAAGAAGCAATAAGTTGTCGGTGCGAAGCGGATTTCTCTCATAGACAGTGTTGCTGTGTTCTAGTGCTTTCTTATAACTTCCAGTCTTGTACATTTGATGTGCAAGAGTCAAATGTAAATCTTCATCAACTGCACAAAGATATCATAAATGATCATAAAACCCTCGCAATAGTGAAACACTCTTGACTTTCATCGTGAATTCGTGATTAAGCAATTAAGAAGTGCTCCAAAGTACCAAATTTGAAATAACAAACTGATAAAAAAATACTCTTAGCTAAAAACAACCTAATAAATTTATCACAACAAAAAATCACCAAATAAACCCTAATTATGGAATTAAAGAGCAGAACTAAAACCAATTTATTTACAGTATTAATTATTGGCACATGTCACCTGTAAAATCTCAGGAAGCAAATAAAAATCAAAACAAACCTTCACTGGAATCATGAGAGCGTAAAGGCAATAGCGTGAGCGAAGCTGGCTCTTGCTTGACGGAGAACGGTTCAACGCGATCCAAAGTGAACGGCGACCGAGAGTCGTCAGCTAAGCCTGAAAGCTGCGACTGGTGGTTATAGTGGTGGCGAAGGTGGTGATCTCCCTGCACAGAGATCATGGTGCCGGTGGGGAATTGGAAACTGTATCAGTGGACGAAGAAGGTGAACATCAAATTCAACTGGATCGGGATGGGATCGCGAGGGCTGAAGCTGGTAGATGAAGAAATAGCTCGAAAATTTCAAACCCTAATTGTTTGAGAAAATTCTCGAGTGTGTATTTCTTCTTCTTCTGCTTTATTTTCTTCCCTTCTCTTGACGCATCTGTTTTTTTGAGGATTGGTGAAGACAGCACAACGCGAAGGAGAAGTGTTTTAAAGGGAGATGAGAATCTCGGTTGTCAAGCGATCTGAGCCGTCGATGTAGGACATATAAAGACGCTAGAGATCGGTAAAGTGAGATGTCATCGATGACCGACACGTGAACACCTTTAGTTTGTTAAAAATGTATATATTATTTTATAATTATTTTAAAATATTAATAAATATCAAAACTCTCTTTAACATAAATAAAAATAAGATTTAAATATATTTTTTGTCCTCAATTTGAGAGTTTTAAATAATTAATCTCATATTATAAAATTAATGAATTTAATTCCTTAATTATGATAAACTTTGGATTTGTATCATTCTTGTTTGATTTTTCTTATGTGACAACTTCATTAATAATGTGACAAATATTAGTGGAATTCATGTTAGCACTTTCTAATATTTTAATTACTAGTTTGATATTTTAATTTAGAAAATATTGAAAAACATTTTGTGAATTAAAAAAAGTAATTTATAAATTTCTGAAAATGTAAAATAAAATGTCAAACTGTTTTGCCCTAATTCACATTCTCCGTTCTTCAAAACTTAAAAAACCATAATCTCTCATTGTAACTCATCCTTCAAAACAAGTGAAAAATTCATTATCCTTCAATCACACTCAGTGTTACCCCTTTCGTCTAAAGCGTTCAACTGTGCATATTGTTCAAATCGAAGTTGTGCAGTTGTGATTCAGAGGTGTTTGGTTTGATGAAGATGACGAACCCAACAAGTCAAAAGGAGAGAAATGAAGAGTCAAATAATGTGTGAGGTATGTATCTTTGTCTTTGTGGTCCCGTTTTTTTGCATACTATAAATGTATTCTTGTGGTCTTGTTGTCAGTTTAAGTTTGGTTTTGTTAATGTATTATTGTCGTCCTTGTGGTCCTGTTTATTTAGTATTGTTAATGTATTCTTGTGGTCCCTGATGTCAGTTTATGTTGTGAGTGCATTATTTCATCTAATCATGTTATGAATGATGTCAAAACTAGGAGAGTGTTTTAGCGTTTTGTTATATTGGGCGGTATCAAACAAAGTTTAGATGTGCATTGATCATCTTAGCTTAGGATGCATACAAATGTTTTTGAAAATAATTTGAAAAGTCTTAGACATGTTACATGCATCAAAAACAAAGTTTTATGTGTGAACGTTGTTGCATAGGTCGACACACACGACTTCAGGTCGACCTATAGAAGCTTTTGCTTCAGTATAGGTCGACATATAGCTTGGACAGGTCGATATTCACGCATCAATATTAAAGCATGTAGGCTCTGCCTAGAGGTCGCTTCACTTAGGTCGACCTGAGTACTTTGACAAGTCGACTTATTGCTTTCATTGGCCGACCTGTACCTTTCAGAAACTTTATAATTTGTTTTGCATCTTATTTTTTCTTGCATCCTTTTTGCCTATTTCCATAAACGCACCTATATATACTCATACATGCATCTTTTTCTAGCAAGGTACTAGTATAAAACCTAAACGAAACCAGAATTATAAAGCATTCCCATCATTTTCAACTTTTTTTCTATGCATACACACAATTAAACTACACATAATCATTTTTTGATTGGGTGACCATCTAGATTAGGCTTGATAACGTCTAATTAGGTTGGTGTAACTGAGAATATTGGGTTGGGATCTTTGTGTGTTTCAAATAAGAAAATCAAGTTGGGGTTTTCCTTCAAGATCATTGGGATTTGAAGGTTTTGGACAAGATCACACAAATACGGATTCGACCGAGTAAAGGCATGGGACAAGGTGGTACCTTGCAAGGGAGTAGCGCGAGACGGTGAATCGTGTTCTGGAACCTTGGTTTCAACAAGTGAGTGATAAGGTTTAATCAGACCGAGCGAAAACCTTAAAGACGAGGAAGTCTTGCAAGCAAGTAGTCAAAAACAGGTGGATTGTAGCAACATTGTTGGTGACTTGATCAAACTTTGGTAAAGGGTTTAGAGGTGGTAGAATCAACAACAAACCATAGGGTTTGTGAGGTTAAAGTTTTTCATCTCTTGTATAAACATTTTTGCAAAGATAAGGTTAATTGCAAGTATCTCAATTCAATTTTGGATTGAGGGCAGACATACCCATAGTGAGGATGATTGGGAAACTATCTAAACAAATCTTTGTGACTCTCTCTCTCTCTCTTTCTTTCTCTCTCTCTCTCTCTCTCTCTCTCTCTCTCTCTCTCTCTCTCTCTCTCTCTCTCTCTCTCTCTCTCTCTCTCTCTCTATATATATATATATATATATATATATATATATATATATATATATATATATATATATATATATATATATATATATATATATATATATATATATATATATATATATATATATATATATATATATATATATATATATATATATATATATATATATATATATATATATATATATATATATATATATATATATATATATATATATATATATATATATATATATATATATATATATATCTTTATCTCTATCTATCTATCTATCTATCTATCTATCTCTATCTATCTATCTATCTATATATATATATATATATAGATAGATAGATAGATAGATAGATAGAGATAAAGAAATATATATATATATATATATATATATATATATATATATATATATATATATATATATATATATATATATATATATATATATATATATATATATATATATATATATATATATATATATATATCTTTAGTTGTTGTTCTTGCAAATTATGGAGTTCATAGTTGTTTGATCAATTCAATTAAAAATTGTTTTTCAATTATATTTTAAAGTGTTGTTTTTGATATAATCATAATCACTTTGATTGAGATTGGCTTTTAACATCAACAAAACAAATTGAATTTCCAATCATTATCGATCGCACACAAAGTGTTCGATAAATTGCCTTTGAGTATTTTAATTAATTTGTGTTAATTGGAATTACGTTTTACGAATAGCTTTGCATTTAAATTGATTTGTGAATTAATCGTTGTTGAACAATTTGTGTTTATTATCATCCTAATTAGTTTATGTTACGCATACCTGAGCTTTTCGATTGTAGGTTCGATTAGACGATTTGATTCAGATTGTTTCCGTTATGGCATAAAACTTTTGAAAATAATTTTTGCCAAAAGATATGTTTTTTATTTGTGATTTATTCACCCCCTCTAGATCGAAGCCTATTGCCTAACAAGTAGTATCAAGAGTTCCGGTTAATTCTGTGTTTAAGATTTACTTTTTAAAAGAATGGTTGTCGAACCTAAGGGAATGATTGTTTGTTTGGAACAAGGTCTCACGCAAAATAGCTAGAAGCACAAAGGTGAATAGTTGTTCCAGTGGTATCATCGATGGTCGAAGGGAACAATATGAATCCTTCAGAACAACATTAATGCAACACCAAATAATGACTCATCTCACTCTTTTTTTAGATAAGCATTTTTTGTTAAAATTTCAGCCACTCTTTATCATTTTCCAATATTTTATGTCATCCTAAAATCCTGATTGTTATTATTATAGCTCAGATAATATGATACATATATTTTAGACCATTGGTTGTGAACTGTTATATAGGTATTAACATGTGTTGAATAGCATGCATGTCGTCGTTTAAGTCCCAAATCATTTATTGTGAACAGATACTGGCAACAGAAGCACGTGGTGGTCCTTATTTTATAATTTACATGCTTCATACATTCTAAGATCAGTTTACAGTAACTGTCATTGTTTTGCTAGCTCTAGCTTAAACTTATGTTTAATTTCTGCAAGTACAGTTAGTTTTCCGAGTGCAACTTTCTGTTAGATGTATTTTGTACCATGTCAATACTAAGATACTTTACCGTTTATGCACATTAGACGGTATCATTTGAGTCTATTTGTGCATTTTTCCTTTAGGAATCATGTCGACATGTTTGAAATGGTTTAGAAAAATTCAAGCATCGAGAAATCGTTTAATGCATTAAAAACAAAGTTTTGTGTGTGAAAAACACCATAGAGGTCGACATATACAATTATAGGTCGACACATATGTTGCAGCATTAAAGCCTGTAAGCTCTGTCCACGTACCACCTCCTATAAGTCGATACATGACCTTTACAAATCGACACGTCACTTTGATAGGTCGACCTATAGACCAAAAATCTTGATTTTTTGCATAACTTTCTATTTCTTTTGCTATATATATATATATATATATATATATATATATATATATATATATATATATATATATATATATATATATATATATATATATATATATATATATATATATATATATATATATATATATATATATATATATATATATATATATATATATATATATATATATATATATATATATATATATATATATATATAGACACACACACACACACACACTTGATACATGCATCATTTCTAGTAAGGTTCTAGAGTAAACATATACGGAACTGGGATTTCAAAGCTTTCTCATCATCTTCAACTTCTTTTTTATGCATACACACAATCAAACTACACATAATAATTTTTTGATTGGGTGTTATCTAGATTTAGGTTGATAACGTCCAATTCAGATTGTTTGTACTATAAATTGGGTTGAGTTCTTTGAGGGTTTCAAATAAGAAAGTTGAGCTGGGGGTTTTCTTCAAGATCGTTAAAGGGTTTAAAGGTTTTGGACAAGATTATGCAATTCGAATTCGATCGAGTAAAAGCCTTGGGAAAAGGGGTGTCTTGCAAGGGAGTAGCGGGAGATGGTGGATCGTATTGGTAAATCTCAGGTTTCAACAAGTGTGCG